TTGTTGTTGTTGTTGTTGTTGTTGTTGTTGGTGTTGGTGTTGGTGTATGGACACCACTCGAAACGCTGAAACGCCACCTAATTTCGTGCCCAAAACGCTCCAAAAGTGACCGGGAAAAGTACCTAATGTTGTTTCTGAAACCCTAGAAAAAATCACCTCCCGGGGGAAAACACCCTGCCTCTGAAGGACGAGCTAGGTCCAAAACCACGCCAAAAAACTGCCTAACGTGTCGTCTGAAATCCTAGAAAAACAACATTTTTCGACAGCTTCTGTTGCCTGCGGCTGCTTTTGCCTGCGCCTGCTGCAGCTAAACAGCTTCGAACAACTCACCTCCCGGGGGAAAACCCCATGCTTCTGAAGGACGAGCTAGTTCCAAAACCACGCCAAAAAACTGCCTAACGTGTCGTCTGAAATTCTAGAAAAACAACATTTTTCGACAGCTTCTGTTGCCTGCGGGCGCGGCAGTAAAACAGCTTCGAAAAAATCACCTCCTCCCGGGCGGAAAACACCATGCCTCTGAAGGTGTTGTTGTTGTTGTTGTTGTTGTTGTTCTTGTTGTTGTTGTTGTTGGTGTTGGCGTTGGTGTTGGTGTTGGTGTATGGACACCACTCGAAACGCTGAAACGCCAAATCACCTCCCGGGGGAAAACCCCATGCTTCTGAAGGACGAGCTAGTTCCAAAACCACGCCAAAAAACTGCCTAACGCGTCGTCTGAAATTCTAGAAAAACAACATTTTTCGACAGCTTCTGTTGCCTGCGGGTGCGGCAGTAAAACAGCTTCGAAAAAATCACCTCCTCCCGGGCGGAAAACACCATGCCTCTGAAGGTGTTGTTGTTGTTGTTGTTGTTGTTGTTGTTCTTGTTGTTGTTGTTGTTGTTATTGTTGGTGTTGGTGTTGGTGTTGGTGTTGGTGTTGTTACAACCTCTCTGCCCTGACGCGCTCCCCCTTGCCGTCGGCCGGGGTCGGCGGATTTCAATTTCTGCCCAGAGCTGGGTTAATGGTGGGATTTTAAGGGAATTTAGTTTGTCGTCGAGGCGCCTTCAACGTCAACGCGCAGCCACCACCCGTTCCAGGGCACATGTCTGGAATGCCACCATTACCTCCAGGCTGGTTCTTTGCAGAAAGGCTGGAAAGGTTGGAAACACAGAGCAGCTTCAAATAACGATCAAAGTTCTCAATCATGTAAAATGGACCCTTCTGAATGTCTCCGATTTGGGGACAGGTTATTTGGTTGGCACCGAGAAGATGTTCCAACAGCAGCCGGGAATGTCTGGCTAGGAGACCCAGTGTCCATGCGACCAGATCGAAGGAAATCAGTTTGTATTGTATTGACATATTCACACCACAATTTCTCAACGTGATTGAACTTGAGTCAACGTGTTCAAAGCGCATAATTTCAACTGATACCTGTTTCCTCGGCCATTGTTACTTCCATGCCCTAGGCCCTGGGATTGGACCGCCTGGTGCTGCCCCTGGCATGCCACACATACCACCAGGACCGCTGTTTACAGAGTTACAGCTGCGACGCAGTGTTGCAGTCCATAGCTGCACACTGTACTGGCCAGGACAAAATCCTCTTCCTGGACAACCAGGAGATTGGGATGAAAGTGCAGATCAGATGGATGCGCTGTATGTCTTGTTTCAGTGTATTGTGTCACAGTCATAGTCATATTTTGGTGTGCAATTCGATGGGTGTGCTGTTTTTTGAAGGAGCCAAACAGCCTGCGGTAGACCCTCTGATGCAGCCAAGTTGCGGGCCAAGTTGAATTTGCGCAGACTGTGCTACAAAATGGGGCAGAAAACGCTGCAGATTCGTCAACTCGTCATGTGCACGTCATAATAGTGCCCATGCCAACCATGAGAGCGACTTTCGAAACAAGGGCATGGGCTATGATAAATTGTAAGCAGATCAGATGCAGAGCTTGCAATGGCCAAGGTACAAGAAACTTCACTGCCAATCCACCTCCAAAGCATCTTACTTTCCTTGAATACCAGGAGACCGAAGTGAACCGAAGAGATGGGAGATATGTTTGTTTTTGAGGGCTATTTTTTTGTTTTCCCATCGTTTTGCTTTGTTTTTTTATTTCTGGTTCTTTGCTTCTCTGCTTCTCTGCTTTTCTACTTTTCTGCTTCTCTGCTTCTTTGCTTCTTTGATTTTCTGCTTTTCTGCTTTTCTGTTTCGTTGCCTCTCTGCTTCTCCGCTTTTCCAGCTTCTCTGCTTTCTGCTTTTCCCCGCTTTTCTGCTTACCTGCTTTTCCCTGCTATTCTTTTGTTTCTCATACTCATACTGTAAATAAAGCCTAAGAAGCATAATATAATACAATATTTACATAAACCCTAAATCAGCCCTGAATCAACCTTAAATAAACCCAAACAAAAAACATTAAAGCAACTCTAAGTAAACCCTAAACATCCCCGAAATAAATCTGAAACTAATCCTAAATAAACCCAGAGACCACCCTAAATAGTTCCTAAACCAACACCAAAAAAAAATAAATATATATGTTAACCCAAGCGTAAATAAACCTCACACCAACCCTAAATAGATCTTAAACCAGGCCTAAATAGCTCCTAAACCAGCGCTAAACAAACCTTAAGCCTTAAACCATTTAGGTACTACACCAACTCTAGATAGATCCTAAACCAAACCTAAATATAAGCTAAAACCAACTTTAAATAGGTGCTAAACCAACTCCAAATAGATGTTAAACTTTAAACCAAGCCTAAATAAACTTTACACCAACCCTAAATAGATCTTAAGCACTGCCCAAATAGATCCTAAGCCAACCCTGAACAAACCGCCTTGAACCAACCCTGGATAGGTCCTAAACCAACCCTCAAATAAACCCTAAACCAATTTTGGAGCCTGAACCAACCCTAAATCGATCTTGATCAAGCCTAAAGACACCCTAAAACCAACCCTAATACTAAACCAACCCTAAATAGATCTTAAACCCAAGCCTATGTAAACCCTAAAAACAACCCTAAATGAACCCCAAATAGATTTTAAACCAAGCCTAAATAGATCTTAAAACCAACCCCAAATAAATCCTAAACAAACCCCAACTCTAAGACCAACGCTTAAATTATCCCAGCCACAGACCCCAAACAGTGGGAGTGGGAGGATAATGTATGATAATGTGAATGATGATGATAATGATGATGATGATGATGAAGAAGAAGAAGATGATGATGATGATGATGAGATGAAGATGAAGATGAAGATGATGATGACGACGACGATGATGATGATGATGATGATGAGATGATGATGATGATGTTGTTGTTGATGATGATGATTATGATGATGATGATGACGATGATGATGATGATGATGATGGTGATGACGATGACGACGACAACGATGACGATGACGATGACGATGACGACGACGATGACGACGACGGCGACGATGATGATGATGACGATGATGATGACGCACACGTTCCCACGCAATACTTGTACACACAACACTCTTACACCCGCTCCTGTCCCACACCATTCTTTCACCCACAGCACTTTCACACACGACTCTTTCACACACACACACTCCACTTTTACACACCACACCTTTACACACCTTTACACACCTTTACACACCTTTACACACCTTTACACACCTTTACACACCTTTACACACCTTTACACACCTTTACACACCTTTACACACCTTTACACACCTTTACACACCTTTACACACCTTTACACACCTTTACACACCTTTACACACCACACACCACACACACACACCCACGCACCCACGCACCCACGCACCCACCCACCCACGCACGCACGCACGCACGCACGCACATTTCTTTCACCAACAACACTTTTACACGGAACTCTTTCACGCACCTCACTTCGACATGCATTTTTTGCACACACCGATCCTCCACCATATCTTTTCTCTTTCCTGCCTTTCCCATCCCATCTTCACCTTTCTTTGGCTACTTTTTGGAAGAAGTTGACATGTGGGGTTGTCCGGTCCTTTTATTCTAGGCACATTTCCCGTGATATCTGCTCAGTACACCATGCTCTACTGTTGTTTCCGAAAGTTTGAAGACAAGGCTTTCAGCCTGCTTCAGCCTCCAATACCAATGAATTGTTCTGCGAGGAGATGAAACTGGAGCACGAGGTGCGGTGACACATTTCTTCCTTGGCATCGAAACTACATGCAAAAGCACGGCGAAACATCCAGTGAAACTTTTTGTTTGTTGTTTTTTTTGTTTTTTTTGTTTCTGCTTGTCTCGGCTTTGGTGTGATTGATGGCGGTCACTGTGGCTTGAGGTTGCAGAAAAATTGAGACGGGAGGCTGAAAGCGATAGTGACTAGCTGTGAATAGCGACCTGACTTGTGAATAGCCCGCGCCTGGTCATTCAGCTCGTTTCACCAAGGCAGCATATTTAGCATGCTAGCGGCAAACAAAGGAATGTTGTGGAACCTCGAGAACCGAAGTCTTATCTATTCCATTTTAATCCTATTCACAAATTCAGGCAATTGACCGTGTCCACTGCGCCCACTGGAAGTGCAACGAGGGAATTGAAATCTGCCCGCTGTTTTGTTTGCTTAAGTGCAGCCTTTTGCCCTCATGCCTCCAGGTGCGACCAGTCAGTGGGACGCAACACAAGCACTCAATGAGCATTGTTTATTTACTTCAGAGTTCCCAAATGTCCTTGAATCGGTCTTGCTCATGTTACATTTGTTGACTACCACCTCCAAGACAGTTTATACGCCTCATAATTTCCATGACAAAATTTTGTTCCTGAAGTCGTTCGACTCAGCATCTTCTCAGCGCCTGATCTCGATTCTACCCGTCTCAGGCGACTTCTAGATGATTCTGGAGGCTGTGACTATGCACTCTTTCTTTGCCGTTCTTTGCGTTTCTGTGTATCTATGTTGTAATATGTTGTATCTTGTTTTTTTGTTGCTTTTGGTATTCTTTCTCGTTCATAAAGCTTCCAGCGTTTCTAGCCTTAGGTTAGCTGAGAGCACCTCTGCAATGGCCACAGAGGACAGACCGCAGCATGACCTTTGTCAGCGCCCCTCATCCGAGTCACGGTGGGAACTTGCATTGCATAGACGTAGAGATAATCAGAGACGATTAGAAATTGGAGAAAGGAAGACCAGCATACTACAGTGCAGAGATGACCATTACATTCATCATACCTAGCTACACTCAATATGCTGATATACGTCATATTTCAGCGATTTACAATGATATGAACATTATATGAACTATGTGCACATCATGTGATATGTCTAACATATGCCTAACATGTAGACTAAGAATGTCTAAGAATGTCTAAGATTCTAAGATGTATTCACTGGGCTGACGATGCCCTCATGCCCTGAACTCAGGAGCCCCGCGTAGATGCCGAAGACGAGGAGGCTGAAGGTGAACAAGCAGCGGTGTCCTCAGCAAGTGTCCTCAGCGTGTCCTCAGAGGCTGTGTAGCTGGCACTGATGGCATGACAGATATTTGTTTTTTTCGAAAAAATCACGTGGTGAATTGATGGATGACACTTGCATCAGACCTTCCAGCACTTGCTGCATGACGATTCATCACCATTATCACACAATTTCTGAAATGTGGGCGTCTACTCACAATTTATCTTTTGCATGTAACACACCTGCTAGAAATATGTCTGAGTCTTATTCTTTGTTGCATCTTTTGTCTAGTATCGATATCCTGCGGGAACGCGCTTGCAGCTGGTAGACCTCCATGTTAAGGTGCTGTTCTGAAAGCGATTTCAAGTGAACTGTCTCTGTCCAGACCCACTCAACTTGATGTCACTCTCGTCCTTTGTTTTCTTTTTCTGGGTCCTTTAGCTAAATCACTGGCGCATCGCATTTGCAACGTTTGGTTTGCAACTATATAGTTGAGAGGTGAAGACTGTGTCAAAATCTGTCAAAACAAATGCCCCCAGATCGAATAGGTGAAACTGCTTGAGTTACTCTTAAGATAACGTCGTGTCTCTGCAGATGTATCTCTTGGTTTTGGGCAGAACTTTGGTGAAAGTGGGGTCTTGGTGGCTGGTTTGGGATTGAAAGTGCGGGCATTGTCAAAGTAGCTGTACCAAGATTCTCCACTTTCAGCATTTACTGCAAATTGGGGATGCTTCCTAGTGGACCTTTTTGCGTCCTTTGCCACTCCAACCAGCCCCAACCAGCCACAGCCATTCTTTTTCTGCATCATTCTTTATCATCTTCCTTTGCTATCCTTTGGCATGACTATGCATTTGTGTTTCTCAGCGCTTAGATACCACTGCACATGCTGGGTGCCAGCTGGTTGTGAAGTCTCTGAGGATGGCACTCTGGATCCAGATCTGTTGGCCGCTTGTATGAGGCCAGATCAAGCCAGACGTTGCAAAACACACACACACACAGAGGAGATCTGCACACACACACATACACAGAGGCACACTCACGTGCAAGTTTGACTATCATGCAGGGTTTCAGATGTGCAGTGCTTCAATACAACACTGGCATGGACGCTGACAAATTTGGATGGAGCCTTTGGAATAACGCCAGGAACGACACAGAGGCTGCAAAAAAACTGATTGAGCAGGCTTGAGAGTATTTGCGGAATGAGGGCCGCTACTGCAAAGTGGTTTCAAGTGGTTCGATAGCAGAAAAGTACCGGCATCAACAATGCATCCTCAACAGACAAGAGGAAAGTATGTTTGCAGTTGCATCCTTTTGGCTGCACACACCTGACTCTTTTGTTGTACGCAGGGAGCAAATCCCTGCTGTGAAGATCAGCGACAGCGGGCCTCCCAGCGTATACAAGTGTTATGTTTTTTTTTTTTGAATGGATAATTTTGGATATAAACGTGTTTTGCCACTGATTGTGTCCCAGATGGAGTCCTTTAATTTGGGCAGCGTCGCATGGAAACGAGGACTAATGGGCAGCCCTAGAATTAAAAAAATGCCTCGTCGTGTTGCTTGTCAGGAGTATGCATGAGGATAGAGTTTACAATTAGAAGTGGATGCAAAGACTGAGCGCTTGGAGGACCTAACAAGGCTCCTCATCAAGCACAATGCAGCTGAGGTGCAGCATAGAATTGCCAATTCTGAACAATGCCCTCGCTTTGACTGCGCCAAATGGCTTTGCAATGCTTCTCAGGTGTACAAATACGATGAAAACACAAAAGCCTGCAACTCAATGACCCCAAGACATGGTCATAGATCGTCACACCCTTTTGCGAGACTCTTCAAAAGTTCCCTTGCAGCTCACGTAGCCCACATGGCTCACAGGGCTCTCGCTCTAGGTCAGGAAGAAGCACAGTCCTCTACATTGGGCTGCGTTCAAAGGGCACCTCAAGGTGACTGCAACAGAACAGCAACAGAGAGCAGCGTATTTGATTTTCAGAAAGCAACGTGCATTTGATTCAAAGTCAAAGTAGTTCAAAGTCCACTGCGCATATCATTTGCGATGTAGTCAGGGCAGAGCATTGAGTCTCCCAGCCTTGGCCACATGTTTTGCTTTTGTGGCTGTAGCCGTGTCAAACCGTCAAGACATCTCAGAGAAAAAAAATCGCAAGTTCCGCAAGTTCTAGCCCATCAGCTCAATAGAAAACTTCCTTTTTCATGCAGTTTTTTTTTGCAACACATCATGCAAAGAAGCAGTTCCGCTGCATGAAAAACAAAAAGAGACTTGCTGTAAAGGTTTAAGCACCACATGAATCTTTCTGTTCAGAAAAGAGCGCACTTTTCGTGTCATGGTCAAACTTCAGAGTCTTATGCACTGGATCGCACGCTTCGCTTGATCTGACATTTGGAGAAGCGTATGCCTGCTGATGTCAGCGTTTGTGGACCACTATGAGGCAGCGAAATGATATCTTTTGATCGTTTCGCTTCGCCTTTGACATGATCGCCGTTTCACCGACACGTCCAGGTCTTGGGATGTGACCCAACAGCTTCTCCTGCAGAGCTGAAAAGGGTCGGTGACCAAGATCAGCAAATCAGTCGCTAGTCTCAAAGCATGAAGTAAGCAAAGTAAACAGGATCCATATTATGTATCAATCGCAAAGGTGTTGACGAATGCGCACCACGTAATGCTAAAGTTCGGATTATCTCCAAAATCTCCCTCTTTTTTTCCTATCTCTCTCTCTCTCTATCTCCCTCTCTCTCTTTGTGTTTGTCTGTGTCTGTCTTGCTTCCTCCCTCCTCCTCGGCCGATACATATGATCCAAATAAGATTCTGCAGCACATTCAATCCTACTAACTAATCACAACCCATATCCCTGTTCTTGTAGCACACACTCCGAGAGGTAAAGAGATATAGAGATAAAGAGATAGGTAGATAGACAGACAGACAGACAGACAGATAGATAGAGAGAGAGAGAGATAGAAATAGAGATACAGAGATTGGGAAAAATTGATAGAGAAATAGATAGACAGTAAGTGAGAGAGAGAGATATAGAGATAGAGATGGATGGATGGATGGATAGATGGATAGATAGATAATTAGGTAGATAGACAATTAGGATTCAATTAGGTAGATAGAGAGAGAGAGAGAGATAGAGAGATAGAGAGAGAGAGAGAGATAGAGATAGATAGTCAGAGGGATAGAAAATAGCAGGTAGACAGGCAGACAGATCGATAAAGACAGAGACAGAGAGACATAGAGAGAGAGAGAGAGAGAGACTCAGAGCCTCAACAACCTTTCGGTCCATCAGTTCGCTCTGCCATCCATGAATCACAACATCACACTTCTCCTATGGTTTCCTATCTTTGAAACTTCTGCCACCACCTTGTGCGGTACTACTGGTATAAATTGAGTATAAACTGATATATAATTATATATATATATATTTCAGTATATGATATTAGATCAGAGTGTTCGTAGGTTCGGCTCTTGGTGGAGAATTCTTGTTCCCTTCGGCTGATTTTGACCTTCCAGGCCTACCATGAAAAGCTCCGGGAATATCATCCTGACAAAAGACCTGAAAGCAGGGGAGAGACAGGCGCCCGAGCTGCTCGGATCTAATCAAATCGATAAACCAAATGAACAAACAAGAGTTTCAAACGGTTTCTTTTGACTTTTCTCAGCTGAGGTCACACAAGCAGTTTTGGATGCCTGGTCTATTCTTCAGGATAGCTTCACGAGAATTGTGGCATCGTGGCATTCAGCTTGGTCGGCTGTGTCCACTCTGTTGAGGACACCGACAAACGCCAAGCATATGACGCTGTTTGGAACAAGAAAAGGACCACGGTGAGGGGTGCAAATGAAAGGCGATCGCATCAATTATCTTGATTGCAATGTATTCCCCTCAGCAACTTTGATTGCTCCCCGTTCACTGAACCAGTCCGTGATCTCTTGTCTAGAACAAGGAACTGTTTGCCAAACCATGTGAGTGAGTCGCATGTCATACTGGGCTCGCAACATTCGTATGATTTATCGAAGGAACCAAGACTTGGCTGCAGAAGTTGCAGAGGCCTTGCAAGAGAGAAGCAACCTGTTTGGTATCAATGATGAAAGTGATGAAAGGTAGCAAAGGAAACCATCTTACACACCAAGCCGAGTGGACAAGTAGACGTGCTGAAACGAACTTGAACCCCGCTAGCTCACGTCTCTAACACTGCATTTTCAAAAACATATGGATACAAGACACGCACGCACAAATTTTCTTGATCTACGTAAAAAATGAATGAAGCTGCCGTACACACGTTAAAAACAGTTGTCCCAGCGAGGGACAGGCACAAACACATCCATGCGCAAAAAATATGTATGTCATGTCTGCATCTGTATCTATATCTATACCTACCTATCTAGCTATCTAGCTGTCTAGCTATTTAGCTATCTAGCTATCTCGCTATCTCGCTATCTAGCTTTCCATCTATCCATCTATCTATCTACCTATCTATTTAATTATATTATATATATACATACTACTGCACATATATATATATAGGTGTTTGTGATATATGTATATATAATATATATAGACAAGCTGGGTGAGAAAAGACGCCAAAGGGCCTTGGTAGGAAGTTCCTGTTCATACATTTTCACAAACCAGGCTGCAGCCTGCAGCAACTGTGCATGCCGTAAACAGGCCTGATGTAACGACATAAGTAGAAAAGAGCAAGCAAGTGGGAGGGTAGGTGCTTGACTGCAGCGCCCCAGATCCATACCATAAATACAGCCATGTTTTTTGGACAACCAAATGCATCCATGGAATCATCTCCTTCCTTCATTAAGAAAATGAGAGAGAGAGAGGGAGAGAGAGAAAGAGATGAAGAATCAAGACAAACATGAATCACTCACAGCTTCAGCATGTCATTTGAGCCGATCTTATCCAAATGCCATGTTGTGTTGAAATTGTTGAGCAATCGGACCCTTATGATTTTTAGGCCCGCCGGCGAGAGGGCAACGACCTCTACAAAGAAGCGCAGGCATTCGATTGGTTGATTGTGACCTGCACAGGTTGTTGCTGCATAAACTATGCATGAATGCTGTTGAGCAAGTGGCGCAACGTTTTGGAGGCGCTAGCAAAAACATCTGGCCCAGACAGTCACGAACCCTGAGTTCGTCTCTTTTCCCAAATGCAACTTCGGAGACTTGGGAGGCTCAGTGAGAGTTTTGAATCACGAGGGCTGGGTGGCTCATGAGGCCTGTCAGCTGCAACGGCATCTTTGACACGGTATCAGGCGCTTTGGACCCATGGCCCTGTTGTACATAATCTTGTTTAAGTATAATTATTGTACAATTTGTATATATATATATATTTATAAGTCATGTTAAGTCAAGCAAGATTCACAACTGATGGCAGTTGTGTCCAAAGTCTTTCGATGCGACTGCCTCAGGCAGCAATTGAGAAATACTCAGAGGGCATAGACCTGGCACCGATGGACTGCCCGTTGACGTTTTGAGCTTGCCAAAAGCAGTCAATTTTTTATCAATCTAGCAGTCAATTGCAGTCAAATACATACATTGGATGGGCAAGATATGGCAAGATTATGCAGGGGGGGGTCGTCAGACTCCACCCTTCGTGAAGGGACGCCAGTTTGAAGGCACTTACGAATGGTTGCAACGTGTTCAAGTAATTCCAACCTATAAGGAGGCAGGAGAGGAGGTGCTATTGTCAACTTATGGAGTGCAGAGAGCTTCAAAGTGGCCCAATCTGCAGCGGACGCTATGAAGGTTGAGACAAGAGCTAAAGTAAGGCAACACAATGATTTCTGAGTTTGTAGCAACTCAGCAAAACAGATTGGATGTAGAAGCAAACCATGCTCACACTCATGAAAGTGTCGATGCTCGCTGGTCGTGATTGCGGCTGGTGGTTTGGATCAGGTGTCCTGGGAACAAGCGAGGTGGCATGACTATCAAAGCGATCCAATTTACTATGCTTCTAATTTTATCACCGGTTCCCTTTGGAAAGCTGGCACATTTGTGCTAGTTCTGGCCTGGGACCCTTGGACCCAAGCAATCACCTGATACATTACAAGAACAACCCTTCTAAAACAGGGCAGAAAGCGTTGACAAAAGAGCAGAATCACATTCATTTCCTTTGCGCATTTCAAATTTTTTGAGGGTCCAAATTGAAAGGAAACTACTGTATATTCACCCCTCTGCGCTGGCTGAGCCCAATGAGCAGCACTGGCTGTGACACAGACGTAGCTAGCTTCACAGTGATTATATAAACATTATCAAACATATATCATTTTCAGCTACTATTGCGCTCTTGTTGTTTTTCATTCAATGGAAACAGTGTTTGGAGATAGACCCGCTGTTTGAACATCTCATAGCTGCTCCAGGATCATCGTCTCCGCAGCAACCGGGCTTTGTGCTACAGTGCTTTGAAGGCTACCGCAATCCTAATGCAAAAACCTACGCTTGGTTGCCAAATTTGGATGTGGACTATAGCAACTGTTCCATTGTTTGGGCCAATGTGGCCTTTTGCAGAAAGCTGAATTTCATTCTTGATATGTGTAAATCACTTATAATCACTGATCTTATCTTAAGAAGGTTACAACTGTGAACCAATGTTACGCGGACATCCCGCGGGTGGCTTGTGGGTACCCGACTTTTCCAGGACTGGAACAGATGCAAGGAGGCCTGGCCGAAAGGCAAACGACGACGTCCATTGGATTTTGTTCGTTCATTTTAAATTCATTGTCTCCATTCATTTTGTTGTCACTCCCCTGTCGTTCGGCTGCGAGTCTCTGCTTTTGCGCTGTCACGCAGATCGGGCAGGATGCTGCAGCAGTTGTTGAAATGAAACCTGACTTCATGAAAGGCACGGCACTGCACGGCTTTAGCCTTGCTGTGGTGCAAGTCTAGACGAGTACCCGAGTACGCCTGAGTACGGGTCTTCCAGTGCTGAGAAGTCCAGGTTGGTTCTTGCTGGTAAAGGCTTTCTGGAAGGAAGGCAATCCTATTGCCGTACGGAGCTCAGTGGGAGAGACACACATGGAAAGTGACCTATGTCAATTGGCCCTGAGACGCTATGAGATTGAGGCTCAGCGTCACCTGGACTCGGCGCTACAGGCAAGGCTACGCATGGCTTTGTCTTTCTTTGGTTGCAGCATGAGTGTGCTGGTAGCATCTGGTAGCTGTATAACACTGTATAACTCGTTTGCAGCCTGAGGTCCTCCCAGGCAGTTCAGAGTTGTTGCTCGGAGAGTCTTTTCTTGACACTTGTATCACTTGTCTTCTAACATTTGTCCTCAAACAATTCTAACACTTGTCTTGACTCGTCTTGACACTTGTGTCAGATTGATATCTTGTGACCACTTGCGACAATTCTGGTCCTTCGGTTTTGCAAGACCAAGGCTCGCATTGCAGGAAGAACTCGCACCAGACGTACAGGCTGCTTTATCCATTCCTTTCGGCCTCACAACATGTCCAAGGATGTCAAATGTGTATTTTGAATCATTTTGAAGTGTTTTCGTTTTCGAGTTGCACACATCCGACCTGCCATCATTTCTGTTTTTCTTGCTTGCAGAACTCTTAGTATGTGCGAATCTGTCTTGAAAGATGATAAAGATGGAGTTTGAATTCCTTCAGGCAACTTCCATGCGCATGTTTTCATACAACGTAAGACTGTGATTTGACCGAATTCAACCCAGTCCGGGCGGCATTTGATGGGCATTGCAGCGATTCCTATAGTGGCTCTGCCTCAAAGTTTTTACGCCCAGAAGTCTGGGCTGTGCGGTTTTTCTCCCAACTTCTCGCCCTTGCACAATGTTGTGGCGTGTGCAGGCCGCCACCAGTGGTGATTTGCTGCCGCCTGTGGGCAGGGGTAGCCTTGCGTCCAAGTATTTGACATGTGGGCAGGCTGACACAGGAGTTGCACCATAGTTTTTTCTGCATTGCCTCTCAAATGACCTCTCACGAGCTCGCCCTTGGCTCAGGAAGCAGCCGAAACGTGTCGCCGTCCTGCACTCCTGTGCAAGGCCTTACCTACAAGATAGTTCAAGTTCGGCACTTGTGGTACTTGTGCAAAACAATGTCATTTCTGGGCCTCAGGCAACTCGAGATCTGGCTCCAGGGTCGCAACTCCACCTCCTGTTCCTGGTGCACGTAGTGCTTCAAAGTCGAGGATGCCTTAGTTCAGCCTAGGTTGGCAGTCTTGATACCAGGGGTGAAATGCCTCAGAGTCCAGATTGTCAGTGAGTGCTTCCTGTAGGTCAGGGCGCCAGCGGTCGACATCTCGGCCTCGACACCCTGGTATCTGTCTCAATGGGAGCAAAAGCTGCAAGAGATCGCACGAGCACTTGACAGACTGATACAAATTGTACAAGATCAAGCTTATGTTGGGGTCCCAACCACATTACGCCTAATCATTACGCGTTTCATGCCACTTCAAGCGTCACGAAGTGACATGAAGTGGCAAAGTTAATTTCCACACAGATTGCACTTCTCTGTGGACTTAGCTTGAAGCAAGCTGTAGAGCTGAAAAGGTGCAGGTGCTTGGGACGAAACTGCGAGATTCGGAGATGAAGATGCTTCAGAGAGGACTTACCACAGACAACATATTTGTTGACACACTTCAATGTTTTGCAACATCGTGGGAACAATTTCTTTTTGGATCTTCGGAACAATTATGTTTGGCAGCTACTTGTTGGAAAAACAGCAGCAACTCCCGCCCCTACCACAAAAACACGTCAAATCACTAAACTGATGCCTAGATCATTGTCTAGGTGAAAAGCAGGGACATGCAGAAGCTCGGTGAATTTTAGAAGCACAAAGACACAGTATTAAGCACTTTTTTTTTCTCCGAAGGTGCGGAAGATGGCAAAAACAACTTGCCGGACCGGAAACCGTGCTCGTAAAAGCACAGTTTTTTTGAATGAGCTTGGCACCGTGGCGACAAGCGAATCTCTGTTGTGAAAAACCTTCAGGGAATGGATTCCAAAACTTGTTGTGCATGCCGAAAACTGACTTTTTTTTCCTCAGAAGATGCGTTTCAAAGCTTCGATGGTTTTCTGCTGCAAGTTGGCATTGAGGTCGATGTGCCTCCATTGCCAAGACTTGGCGTAAAGCAGTAAAGCACGGCTTTGCGATGACACACTGTTGGGAATGTAAGTCTTTAATGCAGACCATGCAGCATCAATTAGTTCCTGTATCCACACGGTGGTGGCTGACAAACTCCTGTAGAATGTTAACTTCTTTTCCGATAGGGGGATAACAAGGAGCACCATCTGTGAGTTATACCAAAGGTAGCACTTGGAAGTCTTGGAAGTTGTTACAAAAGTTAGTGACGCATTATCAAGAACGTAGTTGCAAATTGTGATGCAAAAGTTATTTGCGTAGTTGGAAGTTGTTAGAGAAGATAGCAACGTTGTAAAACAAGGTAGTAGCGTAGTTGGAAATTGTTGCAAAAGCTAGACACGTATCACCCAGAACGTAGTTGCAAACTGTGATACTGCGTAGTGGACAATTGACAGAGAAGTTGTTATACAAAAGGTAGTAGCGTAGTTTCAAAAGCTAGTCACGTATTATTATCAAGAACGTAGTTGCAATTTGTAATACAAAATTGTTTCGACATGTTAGTAACGTAGTTGGAAATTGTTAGGACCAAGGACGTTAGTAGCCCACCCTACCCCACCCCAAAAACGTTAGTTTTACGAGCACGGTTTCGGTCGCGGGCGAAAACAAGTCCGTTTAGGATGTCAAACTTCTACCCCTACTGCAAGCCAGACTGCGAGCCCGGAAGGAACCGTTGCAAGTGCGTTCTTGGCCAGGACTGCCCAGTTTGGCTCCTACATGTTTGTCTGGCGCCCAGCCACGTGTAGTCTGACAAAAAAAACACATTCGGAGTTCGTGCCTGCTCAGCAGCCTTGAAACTGCGACCAGGGCCAGTCAACTTCAAGTCCTGCGCCGTGCTCTTATATAGCCGACTCAAACACAGTCGCAGAGTTGCGCAGGAGTCAATTTTGAGTTTCTATGCAAATGCCTTCTTGCTTTATCTTGCTTTAATTTAATCTTCAAAGTTGTTTCGTTTCTCTGTTTCTCATCATCGGCTCAGCAACTCTCACCACCTTCAAATATCGACCCATTTGGATAGGCCTCCTCCTGCTCCGCCTGGGCCATCCCCTTAGCTTTCTGAGTTTAGCCTTGAGAAGCACCGCAAAACGCCGCAACTTGGAGATGTGACGGAGATTTGCTTTAGCATAATTTGCATAATTATGATATGTGATATGTGTGCATAACTTGCCTATTTTGCGTAGTTTGCTCAATTTGCATGTGCGACGATGTGCGATATGATATGTGCGTTTATGCTTCACGTCATGCCACGAAGTTCTGGATGCGCCCACCTCCCCCAGACTCAGGCGGGAAGGCGGGACCCCACCGCCGCCGCCAATTTCGCAGCGCACAAAGGGATCTTCGCTTGCATCAATGGCCAATATCTTAGAACCGTTTTGCAAACATATTTGAACGGGATGAGGCAAAATGACTAAGAGACTAAGAGGTTGATGTTCTTGGAACATGCTGAAAGATAAAACGGAATCTGAGCCGTTCCCAGGCAGCATCAAGCCGACTCGGAGTGCATGGCACCTGAGTGATTCTGTCATGATGTCTATTTTGAAATTTCAATTCTGCGAGTTCCGGTTGCATGAGTCCCTGAAGGGTTTTCTTTCAATAGACTTCAGCTGTCCAGTTTCGTCCACCACCTTCTTGAGAATCAGAACAACTTCCAGTGGTCGGTGTTAGCTGCATGGTCTTTGAAAGCTGCAACCGGGACCGGGACTTCAGAGCCAGCAGACTGGCTGCACAACCAGCTTTGTTTTCTGCCCTGAGTTGTTGCATTGCCAGACAACCAGTTTCACTTGGGCCGCGAAAGCATTCGTGGCCAAGAGCCAATGTTAAACAGCCCGCACAGAACTTGACTTTCAAGGTAGCTAGCAATATCCAGCAATCAGGACACTTTATGTGCTTTGTTGCATCCGGGTTGCAGGTTCTCTGGCTGCTGATGGCTCCTCCTCAGAACCTGTCGCACCATGAGCGGGACAGCACTTGGACGCGTTCTTGCTTCGATCACTATCAATAACTATCAATAGATTCAATAGATATCATGCTGGTTTGGGGCTGCTCAAACTGATCACAAGAACATTCAGAGTTTGAAGAGTTTCCTCTCTTGATGCAGGATGCTATAGGCAATACGCCACTGCATCAAGCAGCTGCAGGAGGAAATCTAGAGTGGGCAGCCAAGTCTCATCAGCCATCCCATTGATTTCTGAATAGTTTCTCTGCTGAGGTGTGCTAAATGCCTCATGGCGCAGGTTTGGAAATGCTCTAGACAATTTGCAGACAGGGTCTTCAGAAGAGATCACTTACCAGTCCTTTCCTCTGTGAAAAGATTGCATGCCTGAGTCGGCAAGGGCTGCGATGTCCTCGCAAAGAACGACAGAGGGCACACGCCATTTGCTTTGTGCACAGACCCTGAGGCATCCGACATGATTTCCTCTTTTTGCTACATTTAATTGCTTTGTTGTCGTCGTCGTCGTCGTTGTTGTTGTTGTTGTTGCTGTTGCCGCCTCTTGTTTTCAGGCATCGCGCTTCCCAAAAGAAACTGCTTTGCAAACTCGCCTATTTTCCTTGCCTATGAGAGTGGGACAATCGGAATTGGTGTTTGGGAGTGGGTAGAGGCGAGATCACAGCATGATCTTTGGCTTGCTAGCAGGTGCAGCAGCTCTTGCAGAATGCCATGAACGCGACAGCCTGCAAGGCCACAGAGTTAGAGCGAACAGCTGGAAGAGCTTTCGGTTTAGAATCTGGAAGTTGGAGTGTGCAAATTCGAGTGTTTCAAATTCCATGAACAAACTGAGGCATCTGGAAAGCAGTTCTCCTCCACGGTGCTGAGATATCTTTGTTCATGGTGGGAGTCTTTGATGAAAGTGGGCAATCTCTGAGACATGGCCTGGATGGGATTGTCAATGAGTGGCCAACTTGCCTACTCGGCCTATTTGGCCTACTTGGCCTATTCAGCCTATTTTAGCCTATTTTAGCCTATTCAGCCTATTCCTGTTGGAAGAAAGAACTTTCCTTGTGACAGCGACTGTGCTCGGATGCACTCAGGTCACTGGATGTGTTCTGTGAGAAGGAAATCACCCAGACCTTCGTGGGCTACCAAGGATGTACTAAGGATCTGCTAAGGATATACCAGGGATAGAAGCAGAAACAAATACTATATATAATAATTAATCAATTAATTATATACTATAGAATGTGATATGTACATCTTCGGATTTCCTGCTGCTTGCATTTCGAAGTGAATTATTTGTCACGGATGTGCACAACTATTCAACACCCACTGCTTGAAACTTTGACCTTGAAGGTGTATGAGCATCCAGAAGCCAGTGAGAAGGAGTTTCCATTTCAAAAGCATTGGACATGACGCATTTTTGTATTTGATTTATTTTGATTTTATCTAGTGAGTTGATGCATCGTTTTGATGCTGTCCAACCGTTTCGAAGATTTTGATTGTCAAGGAGAAGCCAGTCACGTGGTGCAATGAGGTCAGCAAGGGGCACTTGCCAGACACATTTTTTTTTGTTTTTCGGCTTTGTGGATTTTGTGGTAGGAAATGTTGAGAATGTTCCCAACTCTACAAGCCTCCTTGGCTGGTGATGACTAAAACCAGGTCAGGTCCACGATTCAAGACCTCGAGCACCAGCTGAATCACGTCAGGATGCCCATGCTATTGAGTGTGTCTGCGGGAGGTCACCACACACATACACACACACAAAGAGCTCAAGGCTTTCAGGCGCCATGGCAATCGTGTTGGCCCAATCAAGGCTACGCATTTGAACCAGCTTGACACTGTGACCGCAGCATTGGAAGCTGCTGCAGCCGGGAACAAAGTTGCATTAATGTGCAAATTTGCAACGATATATAATTGTGTTCAACGAAGCTCTGCTTGATGTTTGCCTTTTAAGGACAAGCCGGTAGATTGCAAGCTGGTTCATCAGTGCAACCAGCTGAAGGACTTTGTGTGCTCCAAAAATCGAAAGAGAAGGGGCCCTTATCCAAGTGATCACCCTGCAAGGAGAAACTTGAATCGGAAATACAACTCGGAAAAGCCATGCAGGTGACAGCATCAAGCTTAGTTTGAACTTGACATGGTTGCGAATTTTGAAGTCGGGGATTTCACATCAGTGGCATATCGGCATGTCATGCATATCCTTCCCAGAAAGTTTGTTCCACCTTTCAGCTCTCAGACCATCACCAATCTTGACGAGTTCGATGGTGTACATGATGCTTTGAGCAAGGCAGGACTATCTGAAATCTGCATCGTCCAAAAGAAGGATCTGTACGTTTTGATACTTTGATAATCTTTGATAATCTTTGATAATCTTTGATACGTTTTCGACATTTTTCGACGTTTGTGGCTATGAGTGCAGAGGCCATCGATGATGCCGTTGCGAAAAAGGCTGACCCAGGACGTGCACGTCACTCAGATCGCTTCACGCCGCTGCGTGCCGCTTCGTGGCAAGCGGCTGAGGTTCAAGCGGCCAAGACACTGCGGCGGAAACTGCTTGCAGAGGAAAGTCCATCTCTTCACAAAACTCTTGACACATTGTGACACATTGTGACACATATCTCTTGTAGAAAATATCTCTTAGGATTATCTCTTTGACATATCTCTTGCTCAAACTCTTCTCAAATCTCTTCACAAACCTCTTGGCAGCTTGTCGTTTTCTTAAGCGCTGTGCTTTAATTTGTTCAGAGGCATCCCTGATGAGAACAGTGCTGGGTCAGCAAAAGACAACGGTGGCGCACATTAGCATGCTACAGGAGCTCTGTGCGCTGGCAATTTCCTTTGTGCGCTGACATGTAGACAATGTAGACAATGTAGACAACGTAGAAACCCTTCAGAACTAAGATCCGCGTTGAAGGAGTTGCTGGCAGCCGCCAAGAACGAGAATGCCAACGAGGATTTGATCTTACAAGCTTCTAAGTTTCAGACTCAGTTTTCCAAAGCTTTTCGCTTCTGCACAGTGCATTTTCATGCATTTTCAACAATCATACGAAGAAAACAGATCGTCTCGCTGTCAGTAGTGTATGTCTAAGAGAGTGTGTGTGTGTGTGTTTCACTCAAACTACTGCAACCACGCGCTGTGGGTGCCAGCGCTGTTTGGATTTGTTTCAGATTCTGCGCAGCTTGTGGAATGCTGGTCTTCTTGATTCTCCTTGATTCTCCTTGTACATTCAAATCTTTGCCGTTGCCCTCAGCGTGACCATGGAGACATTGTCTATACCGAAGCTCCAAAGCTTCGTCCAGAGACATTTAGGATTACTCTGGCATGAGCAAAGACGTGTGTGTAGAAATTAAAGCCTTTCCAGACCATCCTAGACTCTTAGACTGACAACATCTCTTTGACGATGCGGAAGTCAAGTAATGCATGACTTGCCTTACTTCAGGTTGATTGCACGGCTTAGCAGCGAGAGCGAGGTGCAAAAACGCATCTCAGCAACTGTGGCATGGCTGCAATTTTAATCGACAGTTGGTTTATACGGGAAGGAGCCCCGGAATTTGAATTTGCCTGTTCAGAACTTTGTGTCCTTGGCACATTGCGGCGTACTCATCAACTGGAACTTGCATCAACAATGCATTAGCTGCCCTGACGACCACAGGTGGTGCTGTGCGAAGTGGATTCATTTAAGGAAGCAGAAGGAAGGGTCAGATACTTGGTGTCTCCCAAGCTTCCTGACATTGATCAAAATTGCGCGTCTTTGCCAATTTGCTTTGAAGTTTTTGAAGTCAGGGAGAGCTTGATCACAAAATGTCACTACATGCCATTCAAATTGATCAGATTCCGCAAGTGAGTAGCAAGGCTTTCATCGTAATCTGTGTTGGAATTCCACATTGTTTCTTTTTCCTCAGGAAGAGATGCCAGACTGGTCTCAGAATACAGAGAAATTTGAAGAATTCCACGAGGAGATTGGCAATCAAGACATATCAAGACATTGTCTCATATTGTCTCAACAAGTGCTGCAGCAACACGCGACACGCTGTTTGCAAGCAGTTCGAGTTCTCATAGAGTCCTTTTAGCAAGCCCAAGCCAGGACTTCAAAAAAGTCATGGAAGATGCTGAGAGGGATCAGGCAAGGCAAGCAGATTGAATAGATTGGATAGATAATAGGCATTGGCATATATAGGCGATATTAGGGACAGGTTGGAAGCCCTTGTGCTTTCAAATTTCAAATTCCTTTGCGTGGTACGAGCCTTTTTTTTGCAGATTTCTGACGTTCTGATGGTTACAGCCCTGGAGCAGCCAGAGCCCTAGCCTACAGCTATCAGCTGCGAGAGTGCTACAAAGTGCAGCGAATTGACTAGATGCCCGTATCACAGATGCAAGTGGCAGCCTAGAAACATCCTCTTTGGTAAACCAGGAAAAAGATGAAAAAGGTTGGATCTCTCTTGTGATCCCCACCTACATGCGACCCTTTCGCTACCTGACTACCCATTGCCTACCCAAACAGAAGGCTGCTAAGCAAATTGAGATTCAGAAGATGCCAATGTCATTGTTTTCACTTATGCAGCAAATCCTTCTCACCTCTCTTGGAAACAATCACAAACGAAGGCAAAAATCATCAAACATCATACAGGCAAGTGCGGCAAGCGTACTTAATGCTGCTGCGCTGCATCCCTGAACTTCCTGAGGCTCGATAAAATCGAACGACTCCTGGTCGAAAAGAAACAGACTGAAGCAGAAATGGGTTTGAAGGCGAGGGCATTGAGGGCATGTTCATCATGTTCTTCGTATGCATCACGTTCATATCGTACTCATAGTCCGAAGTTTCAGACCTGCTGAAAATTGTGAGGCTGCAAAAGCTGCCAAGAAGAAAGGAAAGAAGTGACATTGTGGATGCGTCATTTTGTGTCACCCTCCGGTTTCACGCAGATGAATGTGTGGGTGCATGATTTGAGGAAAGATGTGAGGCAACGGAGTAACTCACCGTGCAGTGGCCTGTGAACCTCTTTCAGACGCAACCTAGCCAACATGAATACCGGGAGCTCTATGTGATTGGCACGCGCCATCACGTGAGTGGATTGGAATCGCATTTCTTGTACATGGTTCTATTTGGCATTGATAGATACCATGTTTGCCATGTCCTTTGACACACACCAAAGCGTCCTCAGCTTTGTTTGGCTTGGTTTGCGATGACATGGCAACAGTCGCACACATCCGGCGTACCGCTATGAATCCGTATGATATGTGAGTTCGCATTTTGATTGAACTGCCCACTTCCTCAATTTGGATTGTCAAGCGGGCACCTGTGCAGACAGTTGCTGGCCAGCTGTTTTTTGGTTCAAGCCATGAGAGCCATCAACATCTGATTTAAGCCATGATTGCAAATGAGACTGTGTAGTAAGAGGGGCTGATTCAAGCAGACAACCAGCGTCAGAATCTGGAGGACAGTTGTGAGGGCAGACACTGACCATCGAAAGGAAGTTACTATTAAGATCTATTAAGGTATTTTTGTGTTGGTGGCCGGTAAAGCTAAGAATTCATGCACGTTGCAAGATTCATGAACGAGCCATGTCCGAATCGTTAGAAAAAAACTTGGCAGGTCACCGGCAGGTCATGGCAGGTTTAGAGAGGAGACACAAGTAGTTGCTGGCGCGATTGGACTGGGGGAGCTGAAGCAGTTTTGCAAATGAGCAGCGAACTTAGTAACGCTGCTAAATGCTGTTCAATGCTGTTAATGTGTTTACGGATCTATGTATATAAGTGATTTGACATTCACAAAGGATCCTTCGACGTACAGAAACTTCCTGCATCTGAGGGTTGTCCTTCAGAGCTCAACATGCAATGCACCCAGAGTTCTTGCTTGCAAGGCCTACAAAATGAGATGTTTTTGATATCTCTTAGCACTCTTTGTCTTGAACCAACTCATGTACTAACAGAGTTACCCCGGCACAATTGCGTGGTTGCATGTCCACTTGCATGGCGTATAGGATGCTGTGGAAACAATTAGTATCCAGCCAAAAAGAAAGCACCAAAAAGAAAGCAAACAGGGACACAGGTTCTGCCCAGTCGGGATTCAGGTGGAAGCTTCTAGAGTTTGCTGGAGCAAGTTTCGGGAAACGTTTCGATTCAGTCACATCGACCCACATTGATCCCTGAGGTTTGGCTGGAGTCCAAAGGGTTTAGGCTCTCTGCCTGAAATGGCAAGGATGGCAAACTAATGTCAACCAATGTCAGCCATGCTGAGCTGAATTGTCGCAAGGCTTTTGTGGGTCCTCCTATGTACTACGCTGCTTGGAGTGGAAGGACGCATTGACACGAGGGATGTTGCAGTATGATCAGTATGCAACAACATGTCACAGCTACTGCTTTGCGTGCACAGTGTGGCTCAATCTGTTTGACACCGATGGATACCGATGGTGCAGGAGAGCAGCCACTGTCACAGTTGTGGACTGGTCGAGCACCAACTGCGCAGGAAAGTTTTTGGTGCTCAGTGAATCTCAGTGAGGACTCTAGTAGAAACATGTAGAAACTAGTAGAAACCCATAGAAACCCAGCAGCCAGGAACTGGGCCGACGAACCGCTCATGAACTCAAGGCTTCGGACTCGGGAACAGACTGAAAAACGGAGACGTGTCAAGCGTACTGGGGCCCCTGAGACAAACCCAGGCTACGGGGTCTTGTTTATAGCCAGCCTTTAGGCCCTTTAGGCCTCAATCTCTCAAGGTGATGTAATCATTGCCTGGCCAAAAATTATCGGCCAAGCTCCTTGGCCAAGCCCAGGAATTGTTACAAAGCAAAGGCGTTCACTGCGATGAATGCGACAAGGAAGGGATTTCAAAACTGAGCTGTACTTGATTTGTTATGTCTCAACAGACTGAAGTAGTGACTGAACCGCAAAGTTCTCAGACGATTGTGCAAAGTTGCATGACGTGCCTTTTCTTGCAAATTGGCATAATTTGTCTACAGGCATGCATTTTCTGGTTGCGACTATATATATATATATATACAGTATATATATAGACGTTTTGGACGCAGACGTCATGCTTGTGCCGAGCAAATGTTAGGGACAAGTGGTGCAACGGGTGCTGGATACTTGGGATGAGGAGGTGTTGGAGGCGGAAATCCGACAGAGCAATAGAGGCCAGCTTCTCCGACTGCCCTTCGCCTTCGGCTAATGTGTTCTCATTGCAGGCCTCCTCACCAGATGGCAAAGTCCGTTTGACCAAGGCATCGCTTCCACACAATGCAATGGATAGTGGATCAGTGGATAGGATAATCAGTAGAAGGGGGGAATGCATTTTCGCATGCACAACGTCCTCGAACCTTTTGTAGGTGTTCTTTCACGTGGTGCATGTTGTTTTCTAGTTTCCACATGTTTCCACATTGTGTTCAAATGTTTTCTTACATATAATATATATATAGGCGCAAAATTCGTGCAGCCCAGTGGACGTATTGGCACAAAGGAAGTGATTTATGGAGTGCCACAGCGACGATGGTGCAAGACTTGCAGAACTAGACAACATGACGCGGTGCGGCACAAAAAATTGCGTCGCGCTGCTCGGCTTGCATGTCCACGTTGTTGGCAGGTTACACCCGGTTCTGTTCTATGAAAGGTCATTTCCAGTTGCAGTACCAAAAAAACAGTTCCCCATGACGCAAACTGACCTGCTTCATGTGATCTTCTCCAAAAAAGAACGTTCTTCATTTGATCTTCCCAAAAAGCACAACTTCCAATGGCACAAGCTGGGCTGCTTCAATGGATCCACTTCCAATGGCACAAACTGGTCTGCTTCATCTAATCTTCTCCAGAAAGGATCACTTCCAATGGCGCAAGCTGGTCTGCTTCATCTGATCTGGTCTGCTTCATCCAATGGCGCCAGCTGGTTTGCTTTATTTGACTTTCTTAAAAAAATATTTCCAATTGCGCAAACTGGTCTGCTTCATGGTGTGCTTCATTAGATTTTCTCCAAAAAGGATAACTGGTCTGATTCATCTGATTTTCGCGAGAAAAGACCACTTCCAATGGCAAAAACTCATCTCCTTCAAGTCTTTTCCATCGCATTCAACAATGGCGCAAATTGATCTGTTTCATCTCTTGTTCCCCCAAAGGATCACTTCCTATGGCACCATGTCCTCCATTGCGACCCTTCTGCAATTCTGCTTTGTCTGTATACACAGTCAACTTAATGTTGCAAATATTGAGTTTCCAGCTTGATCATCGTACACTTTGCTCATGCTGCATGGTATTTTGTTTCCCGATGCGTGGCTCTTGTCTTGTCCATTTGCTCACATCTGAGCCCAGGAATGTTTAATTCACATGTTTGGGGAAAAGAGGTCAACATGGTCTGAACGTGAAACAATGAATTCCCATGGATCAGCGCAAAGTATACGCGCTGAAGCTCGAGACATTGCTTTCACACGCGCCCCACTTAATGTCAGGGGTCTGGTGATGATATTCACACAATATACATTCAACAAATTGAGTTTCCATCCTGGATCATCATACTGCTCTCACGCACGCACCACTTATGTAATGGATCAGGGTTTTAGTGTTCCCTTTGAAATATTTCCTTGTCGCATCTGGTCCCCCACGCCGCAGCCAGCGTTTGCGCGTCATCGTCCCTCACTCTACATCGGCCCCCTTGTCCAATGGCGGCAGCAGAGTCCCACCCTTGCAGTTTGAAGACGACTTCTGGGAGTGTCTTGCTTCAATTATTTTGAACAACTGCTCTGTCTTGTCCCACAGAATACTCACCTAAATATGTGCTTTGCGCTGTTCAGGTCTGATTGGATTTTACCACCGCCAAGTGATCCCAGCTGGTGGGAGAGACGGCCTTGGGAAAGGCGGCCCCGTGATGAGGTTGCACCACCGCCACCGAATAGGGACCGCTCAAGAAGCCCGCTCGCTCAGAGAACCGATGACTCCACCTGGCCCGCCCCCGATGACTCCACCTGGCCCGCCCCCCCCCCCCCCCGACTTGCTTCATCCTGGTCACAGAATCCCAGCGACCCCGCCAGAACTGTTGGAACCTGCGCCGCGCACGCCCGAAAGCCAGTAGATGGAAGCTTGTTAAAGCCTGTTCCATTCTTCAAACACTTATTGCTCTATAGTGGTTGATGTGGTTGTTGTTTGTTTTCCAAAAACTGAGACTACTGTGTCTAATAGCTTTGCCAATCATACCGGATGAGCTACCATTGAAACAACCACAATTTCTTGGCGTTGGAACTAGTTTCTGGCTGCCTTATATGTCAATGCTGCAACAGCCCCGCTTTCTTGGTGTGTTGAACTAGCTTTCTGGCTGCCTTATGTCATTGTTGTAACAGCAACAAGTACTTGGTGTTGGAACTGGCTTTCTGGCTGTCTTTGGATTTTTTGTGGCGCCACATAACACCACCTACAATATGTGCGAGAGATGCGAGAAGGAGATGCTTGTGTGCGTGGTGCTTGGTGTCCATGGTCAGTAGTTGTCATAGCAGCTGCAAACATGGATGTGTGTATAATTGTGTATGTATATGTATATATATATAATTTATCAGGTACGCAATCGTTTATGTAATCATAGTATAGCCACATTCTGGGTGTTTATGTTTTTGTCTCTGGACCAGCAACAGCCCAAAAACATTGTATTTTCCATGTAAATACCAGTGGAAACATTGTTTTGGTAGGTTCCAGGGGGGGTGAGCATATATATATATATATATATTTATTTATTTATATATATATATATAATATTTTCTGTGGACCCAGCGATCTTCAAAGAGTTTGCAACATCAAAATGAAGGACGCAGTAAAAAATAACTGTTATTCGTTAGTTGCGGCTTTTGGTTCCATGGTTTCTCCTGTGAACTTCAAACAGCTTGATGCCGTGGGAAACAATGAGCAGGATGTTTTCATGAAAAACATGAAGATGACCTACAAAAGGCACGAACTGGCACTGTAGAATGAAAATTTGTCCGTTTGCAATGGCAACGCCATCGCGTTTGGCACAGTCAACGTGCATGTAGCATTGCAAGTGTTTTGCTCTACCATGTTTTGTGAGGCATTTAAAAAGAAAACCAGAAGATGGTGGACACGAGCCTTTTGCCGAGCAGGGTTGTCAAACTATTCGGCCAACTGCTCAGACTTTTGCTGTTTGGTTGTTTTTGAATGTTGGCTGCAAGGCTCGCTGATGACGAAAAGGAGCCAGATAGCCCATTGCTTAGTTGCAAAGCAGGCTTGCAAGAGCGTGTCACCATCCTTATTGAACCCCCTGACGAGAGCCACTGGTGGACGCTGGCACATTTCAGTGTCTCACTTCCAGGTAGAACAAGGGGGTTGCAAAATGATGTCCCACATTTGGATTCAGGGTTGACAGATGTGAAGTGCTCAGAAACTACTCTAGAATCTCAAAACTGCAATTACAGCTGTACATGCTGTACTTGGCACCGGCGAGTCAGTTGACAGAAGAAACCTCTTGACACACAAACATTTAGTTTCACTACAAACATCCCTCATCATGGATGGTACAATGTTCCACAGTCACAGTCAACCCCTCCCTCATGCAAAGCTTGGAAAATTTGGTTTGTTTCTCTCTTACTCCTCCCCAAGAACAAATTCAGGAAGCCTTCACTCTAGGGAATTTTAGAGACTGGTTTAGGACACGAGCAGATATAGAACGGAACGGACTGGGTTGCCTGAAGGTTCTCAAGGTTTTGAAGGCTTCCCTTGGCCAGGTTTGCCAGGTTCCAAGAAAGCTCCCAAGCAAAGGTTCAGATTCTATTGGGAGAATTTCAGATTCAATTCTTGAAATTATGAATACTGTATTCTGGTGCTTTTCCAATGCCTGGGATGCTTATGTAGAATGCATGTGCTATTCAGTGAACATCTTAAACGTATTTAAAAGTTGGTGTTTAGTCTGCAATTCAAACACCGAAGCTAACGCGGGCTTTTCGATTTTGTCTTGGTTTAGGTATCATTTGTTGATCTTCAACCCATGGATCAAAGCAAACGTGGTACCTTCGTTGTTCAAAGCTGCGAGTTATATGGTTTGTTTAGTAATAATATATTTGGTTGTTGAATCAAGGTACAGAGGGCTCAGATAGCCGCTTTCCAGATTTCAGCAAGGCAGCCAGATGCTTGCAGCTGCTTGCAGTTGTTCGTGTGTTGAATACCTGCCTCACCAAGCGTGGTGGCCATTTTCATCATCCTGCAACTGCAAAACAAGACAAGCAAGTGCTCAGCAAGTGCTCAGAAAGTGCTCAGCAAGTGCTCAGCAAGTGCAGGAATGGCGGGAATTCAGCATAAAGGTGGCCAAGGGAGAAATACAAACTGCTGCGCCCTCGGCTTTGGGCTTCCGGAGAGAGTGGACACGACAAAGCAATTGCCAAGTTGCATCAGTTTGCCTTGTGATGAGAATGACTGGTTGCCGTGACTTGAGTGAGGAAAGCAATGGCCAGATTGTCTATGAGGCAATCTGACTTTTGGCAAAAGGAATTCACCATCGATATGTTCATATTGTATTTTTAGAAGCAATTGCAAGAGGGTATTTCTTAATCAATGGAAGAGGAAACGTTTTCAATGGGGGAGGAACAACCAACACTTCTGCCACGTGCCAACAGGGTACTGAACTTGGGAACCCCACATATGACAAGCGAGTGCACGGGTGCAGTTCCAACTTGCAGGTTGGTGGATCAACGCCGGCCCCAACCTTTTGGGACAAGTGATGCTCTTGGCAGATGGAGCGTTTCTTGACCAGATGGACTATCAAGAGCTTCAAACTGCATAACTTGACTCACTTGTTTATATGGTCAACCAGAAGGTCACACCAGTGAAAGACTAGTTCACTGAGGTGGAAAATGTACTTGCTCATGGGCATGAACATTAGTATGCTAATGCCTGGTACCTAACAGGACCTAGCACGATGGAATCCTCTTTTATTTTTCTTCGATTTGCACTTGATTTACTTTATTTCCATTGGGTCTTCTCTCAGGTGCACCCAGTACTTGAAAAGGCCTGCCGTGAAAGTCCGATGCATGTCTTAGTATATCTTGAGATGCTATGTGTTTGCTTCTGGAGAGCGGAAGGTACAAGACACAGGACACTGAAGAAAAATACAGGGCTAGCCCCTCAGCTTTACTCTGGATGAGCTGTTTTCTCCTGTCGACTTCTGTTTTGGCAAGGGAGCGCAAGCCGAAGCGCAAGGTGAAGGCAAACGCCTTTGCACGCAAGCATGAATCTGTCGCACTATGAACATTTACGAACTCAATCTATTTCAGCCGCTCGCTCAGTTGTGCAGGAGAAGAGTTTGAGTCCAAAAAGTCCGAAAAAGCCAAAAAGAAGAAGGCCAATGCCAAGCATGTGCGGAGCTGCAGATTCTTATTGAACTACTGTTCTCTGTTGTGACTTGGAGGATAGTAAGAAGAAAAGCTGAGCATTTGCCGCTTCAGTCTCACCCAGAAAAAAGGAGCGCTCCATTGTGATGGCTTTGAGAGGTGTAGACTGGCATTCTTTTTTCCTCTGATTTGGATCGATTTGGTACAAGAGCACACGCTTGCACTGTTGAAGTGAAGTGCCATCTCAGCCTTGCCAGCTTTGGGGGATTCAAACACAAGACAACATTTTCAGAGCAGGTTCTTAAGCCTCGCAGATCGCTTTTTATCCAGAAGTATGCGAAATAAGGATAATTTATGATAGTTTTGATATTTCTTGGTTTGTCCTCGTGAGTCATCAAGAATCATGAAACGGAACAAAATGCGCTTTGTCCAACTCGCAACATGAAGCAATGGGACTGGAAGATCGCCTGCAAAAGGTTCTCGAAACCATCCAATCACAGTCAAGGAGCTACGCATGGGAAGATTGACTTTCAATGACTTTCATTTGTTTGTGTGTTGCGCCGTTGCGCCTGTCGATTTTAAGCTCAAGAGTCAAGTGTCATATTTGCCTTGATCGCTGTCCGTTGTTTAGTTTGCTCGATTAACGTAATGATCATTGCTCGAGTAGTGCAATAGTTATGTGTAAGTGTGTATGTCGTAATTTTCTTCTCATCCTCATCACTGTATATGTTGGTTTGTCGTTGTTTGATGTTGTTTGCAGATCCCACTTTGCCAAAGCAGGCACAAACTGCAACCACTTGGTCAGTGCCCTGGTCGGGAACCTGGTGCTAGGAGGAATAACTCACACCACCTTATCCAAATAAGAAGATGGCAGATTTTCTCGAATGCCGGCAAAGTTTGATGCCAAAGTGAAAGTACGGTCAAAGGTTTGATTCAGCGAAGCATTTCTTGATCGTAAGGCTGCAATGCGCTCTTCCCATCCTGCCGAGTGCCCAGAAGTATCAGAAATATGTCTTTGGGCGTGAAAGCTGAAGCAAACGTAGGCGAACCTTGCCAGCATTCCCAGGTGTAGGGGTGCTTGCTGCCTGGGAGCATGTGAACAATTGGAAGGTCCTGCCGTGTGAACGCATGACCAGTCAGAAAACCTTCCCATTCCTGGGATCATGAATTTTCTTTTCAGTCCATGTTTGCCTGGCATAGGAATCTCATTCACGAGCACGAGAAAGCACATTTGCTGCCCTTAGCAAGGCAGGGGTCGATGCTATTTGCATCTACCCTAGCAATGCAAATATCTCAATTAATTTCAAGCCGCCAGACGATCTAAGCAAACATGAGACCTACATATACCAAGCCCATGCCATTTATATATATATATACATACACACACAGAATATTTAATGAATGCCATGCATTGCTTCTTGGCAGGAAGCTGAAGGGGGAAGTGAGGAGCAAACGGCTGTATTGACCGCCTTGGGTTTTCAGGTGCCTGGAAAAGAACCAAGAGATTTTGACGATCGGCTATGGTTCTTACATTGCTTGTCCATGTTCATAACCCTACGGAACTCATCAGAACAGAGTACCTCAGGTGGATGTCAACGCGGAAACTAGCGGCGACCAAGATGATGTGGCAAAGGCCCAACTCTTCGACAGATTTCATTTACATTGGATAGACGTGCAACTTGATATTGTACCCAATGCCTAAAGAATAGAACGCAAAAATGGACACTATTGAGACAGCAGGAAAGCAATGAAGGGCCAGCTAAACAAATTGCATCAAAGCGACTCACAGAGACCAAAAAGTATAGGGACACGCCGGACACGCGTGACATTTTGGAAACCGTGATCTGATCCGATGCGAGCCTGGGGTTCTTGTTTGTGCGTGGCACCTGAGGACACGTCTGAAGCTCCTTCTTCTTCGTGCTCTCCACCACCAAACAAGAAATGTCGAGACCCGATTCCGATCTAGATCGATGTGTTTGATGTGTATACAATTCTTGTTACAGGACGTTGGAGTTGCAGCCTTGGCGGTCCAAGACTGATGCTCTCAGCCTTGGTCGATCGCTGCGCTACAGGCACTGCCAGCTCATCGGAGCCAAAGAGGCAGACAGAATCGACAAAGTCCTCGAAGTCCTCTAGGAAGAAAGGCCGCATCCAGAGAGCGAGAGAGAGAGAGAGGTCCAAACCTCGTAGAGAGAGCACCTTACTTATTCTTGCACTTGTTTCTTCCAAGTCCAGTTGGGTTAGGGATTCCACAGCAGGAACAGGGTGATCATCTTGCTTCTGAGAAGAAGGTTCAAGAAGATCCTGCACAATATTGTGCCTTTTGAAGCAGTTCCAAGATGATTTCTTTTACATACGTGTTTATTTGTTGGGCTTGCGTTTCAAGAAGGCTTGACTTTCGAGCTGATTCTTGACCTCTTGAATGGAACAGCAACAAAGAACACAAATCAGGCGATGGAAAGCGACGCCAAACCAGAAGTCGACGTGTTCGAAGTCGAGGCTTTGACCATACAGCAGTGAGCGCGGTCATTTTGCAAGCGAACATAAGCGAACAATGTCACTGCCGATGTCAGGTCGGAGACGATCATCTCCCAGGCGGCTTTTCGGCATCCACAACGAGAGAACGACTCGTTGGGACAGCTGTGAAGTTCAGGCGAAGACGAAGTGCGTCTCGAAAAGCGCAGCTGACTTAGAAGTGATGGCCGTGCCATGGATGTGCCACGTGCTATGGATGTGCCTTTCCCTTTGCATTTGTTCACATTTTTTCGCATTTATTCGGGATCAGCAAACTTGATCATTGCAGGTGTGCACGCAGTTGATGCTTGACTCAGGTCAAGATTATGTCGACGCAACAGTCGCAGTGTGGTGCTGTGTTTTTTTTGGGCATTTTCAAGATTTGAGAAGAAGCGTACTTCCTCTTCCGACGACACTTGCGAACCACAGTATTCCGGACCTCGCAATTTCGCACCCATCTTTGCCAACTACAATCAGCATGTATCAGGAGCACTGCAATGTATAAAGCGCTCAGGCAAGAGAAAGTGCAATCGATCGCGGCGCAGAAGCAGCAGGGACCTTAGACATGATACGGGGATATACAGGGATTATATAACCGGATAGGATATACTATAATATACTATAATATACTATGATATACTATGATATACTTATATAGACATATATAGACAACCCTGATGTCTTGCTTTGCAGAGTTGCGGTGCTGGATTTGTAGCCTTTCTTTGCTGAAATTATATTACATTTCTCAGCATTGCAATCAGAGATTTCTGCTTAGGGTCTCGAAGCCGCAGAGACAAACCACGCTCAAGAGGAAGATCACATCGAAGGTGGCAATGTGTTCTCTTGGATTTCTCTGGATTGATGCGATTGGGATATCTTCCAATAAAGTCATTGTGTTGCGTATCGTTGCGTATCATGTATAATTGCATTGTTTTCTGATTTGCTGTGTTTGGAGGCATCGAAGCAGAAGTCGTCACAGAAGAAGATAATTACGATCTGCGAACAGAAATAGAAATGCATTATATGCATTCAGTATTTATGTCAAGGGAAGGAATTCCTTTTATTATCATTATTTAAAGTTTTTGTTTTTTTTTGGCCAGGTTTTGGATTTTTTTTGTAGATTCCTGCTTCTCTTGTGCTTTTCCTGCTTCTTTGCTTTTCTGCTTCTCTGCTTGTCCGCTTTTTGCTTTTCCTGCTTTTCTGCTTTTCTTGCTTATCTCTTTTCTGTTTCTCTGCTTTTTCCTTTTTCCGCTTTTGCTTTTCCTGCTTTTCTGCTTTTCTGCTTCTGTGCCTTTCTACTTCTACTTTTTCTTTTCTTCAGTCATGTGTTTTTGCTGCTCTACTTCCTGCTCCTCTGCTTCTCTGCTTCCTTTCTATACTGTCTCTTTGTTTTTCATTTTCTTTTGCTTTATTATCTCCTGTTTGTATCCTAATACAGGCCTGACTGATTCCATCCTTGGACCCGCAAACCTTTTTTGTTTCAGGGGGTGGTGGTGATGGGGTGGCGGGGAGAGAAAGAGAGAGAGGGAGAGGGGGAGAGAGAGAGAAGGAAGAGAGAGAAGGAAGAGAGAGAAGGAAGAGAGAGAAGGAAGAGAGAGAAGGAAGAGAGAGAAGGAAGAGAGAGAAGGAAGAGAGAGAAGGAAGAGAGAGAAGGAAGAGACAGAAGGAAGAAAGAGAAGGAAGAGAGAGAAGGAAGAGAGAGAAGGAAGAGAGAGAAGGAAGAGAGAGAAGGAAGAGAGAGAAGGAAAAGAGAAAAGGAAGAGAAAAAGAAATTATTTTTTTAATTCCATTTGGAGATTTTTCCTGTTTTTATGATTTTTTATGTCTACTTTGCTTTTGCTTTTTTGCTTCTGTATTTTTCTGCTTTTTT